CTTAGATAAAATGAAAGTTTGTCAGAAAATGGTAAAATAAAATCCGTTTTTCTTCTTCTCTTCGGTTACGAGACAATCGTGGCATGATGTGAAATGTTGGGGGTGGGGGCAATAAATAGGGAAGGCATAGTGTTCATGTTACACAAAAGCTTTGCTTTGTTATCCAAGCCGAGGGCAAAACCAAAAGCAAAGTTTGTGTCATATCTGCAAGTATTACTTTCGAACTTTACCAAGCATGCACGATTGTTATCGTGTTTATACCATTCAGTTGGAGAAAGAGACTTTTTATTCCAATACGAGCAAGGAACGTGAGGATGATACGAGTAAATAAATAAATAAACAAAGAAATGAATGATTAACTTTAAAGCGCTTGGAGTTGATATAAATTATGAAACTTTTTTAGAATTTAAATCTTAAAACTCTCAACGTAATACACAGGCAGAGATGGAACGGTGCCAAAAATATAAAACTGTATATATGTGTTTTATTTCTTTGACATACAATATGTAACACAAATGTGGTTTCCATGATCTGTTATAAGCAATGCGGATTATGTCAAACGTGGAGAAATGTATTTATTCAAGTTGATCTAAAATGAACACTATCGTTTACGTACAGATGTATTCATTAGCCACACGCGAAAGACCATGTCGAACCAGTTAAAATCTGCATATATATGTCTTCCTCAGCAGATTTTACATACAGGACTATTTCATGGGCTGTTGGAACATAGAAAATCTCATAATTCATAGACATGTAATCATTAAGTAGAGATATCACCATGTCGGTTTATCAATGCTTGTACTGTATGTCTTCACCGGATACCAATGGAATTCAAAAGTGAGATTTGCTTTACGGTCCAAATGCACGCCCTCCTGGGATGGTAGATGCCGGTGATAGGAACATGTTCTTACTTGTATAAGATAGGAAGACAGCCAACAAGTACATCAACATCTCTCTCTATAACAGAGCTTATTGATGTGTATCCTCCTCCTCATACTCATTATTATTTTTTTTGTACAAATGCTTTATCACAGCACGTGGCTATATTTTGGCTTTTTTCTTACACCACCACCCCTGTCATATAGGTGATCTAATGTTTATGAAAAACAAGATATAATATCTTTGAAAAAAAAAAAAAAAATCGCCGTTTGATATTTATGGAGTTAGCGTCATCTGTAGCAGCGACGAAACAGATCTAGGGCAGGTAGTACCGTAGCAGAATGTTTTATATACAGTTTCTGATCATCGATTGCTGAACTCACCGGTATGAATGATAAAACACTGAGATATCAAGGCACACCTTGAGTGAAGGATTTTTTGCCATATTTGCTAATGTCGCGTCAATAATTGAATGTCGGAGATTTTATATTTAAAAAAAAAATAAAATTACGACGATGCTGTATTAACAGGCATTTCTAGAAACCAAAGAGAAAATAAAAAAAAACACATAAATTTCATTAGTTTTATGACCATTCTCCTCCCCCATCGTACTCGAGGATGGTTGATTGAAACAACACAGCTGCAGCCCAAAATTCATGTCTTAATCAAGATTCAAGGCTTTTTTTTTATTTTACTTAGGCACACTATCATATACAACAGAAATATTTCTATGCAAACGCGTGAAAAATATGTAGCGACCAAATCGACGTTACTCTGCAACTATTTTTAAAATCAAGAACTTCAGCGTTATTTATCCTTTTACCAATGGTGCCTGTTACAGCGAAATATCAGCACGTGTTGATACGTAACTAGAGTGTAAGTTGCAACTCAGCACGTGTAGATACGTAACTAGTGTGTAAGTTACAAATCAACACGTGTAGATACGTAACTAGAGTGTAAGTAACAACTCAGCACGTGTAGATATGTAACTAGAATGTACGTTACAAATCAGCACGTGTAGATACGTAACTAGAGTGTAAGTAACAAATCAACACATGTAGATACGTAACTAGAGTGCTACTTGTATTTGGGAATCCGGAACTCTGTAACTTACTGTACGCTGCTCACTTACTGCTTGGGTCGTAAAAGGACATCGCTTCCTTCGACTTGTTTCTTTTTATAAATTAAAATATATATATATATATATAGATATTTTACAACTGTTCGGTTAATAAAACGCAACCCTGTCGCACTCCATCGTGGTCAAGCGAAGGGTTGTCAATCGATCTAACTAGATCTAACTAGATCTATTTATCATTTATACAAATTAAACATCATAAGTTGAGGTGAACAATTTCATTAAGATGATAACATTTGTGATTTTTTTTAAATAAAAAGGTATCATATGAAATAATACCTGTGCAGAATATCCCATAAGCCATGATTCCTTGGCACAAGTGTCTCAAAATCTCGGTTAATTTAACAAGAAATAGATGATTTTTTTTAGAGAACTGACTGACCAAGTTTTATTTATTATTTTAAAAAAATTTTACTACCGTGAATATTATTTTTCAACTAGATAATGAAGTACATACATGATAGTGAATGCCCGCAATTTTTATGTACAATCGTTTGAGCAAGTTAAGCCAAACGGGAAATGTGTATTTTGGTACCTATAAAGGAGAGGCCGTTGATACTGTTGCTGTAACTTGTGTTCAATGTTCTTGTCGCTGTTTGTGATACATGTTAAAACATATGTTTAAGCTGCCCTTGATCGATTTAGAATAATGCTGTCATTTACCAGTACAACATTGTTTAGATCTGTATACAAGACACGCTGTTATAACCTTGAGAAGAATTGCAACTCTGAGGTATCTACGATGTAAATTTTTATACTCGGATTTATTCACATAGACAACTATTAAGATTGTCCACTTGAAAAAGTTATACACTGGTTTGATTGTCTCAGTACTAAATGCAAATATATATTTATTATATTATTGAGAAAATAGAACAAATTACATGAAGATCGAAAAGCTTACATGACCATATTTTTCACTCATTTCGTCCATTCATGAAAGTATATACATGTTGACTATTAAATGTCATCAATATATATAAGTCTGATACTCCATTGTTATTATAATACACCCCCGTTAGATAGTGTATTATACCATGGTGTCTGTTTGTTGTTCATTCGGGGCTTCTCTGGAGGGATCAGCAAGTACCATCACATGCGAGTTCCGATTGGCTGAAACAGAAGATGTCAATTATCTGTATAAGTCCAGTAATCCTTATCACTTTGTTCTTCTGTTTCGATAAATATTTATTATCCCCAGTGTCAGTCACATAAAGTAGCCATGCCTTATTACAACACAACTTGTCTATGGAAAATAATAATCGTGCTTCCCGACTGTAGGAACGGCAGAAAAATGTATGTAGAATTGACAAAGGCTTCATTTGCTCACAATATGGTAACGCATTTTTATATGGCACTATTTTACAGTCAAATATTTAATCCTTATTTGTTAGTAATGTCCAGTGTTTAGTCATGTTGTGTGTTCTGGTCAGGTACTTGCAACTACAATGTAGATATTCTCGGGAAACAGTTCCATCGGGTTCCAACACCCCGGGGAAATACGGTAGTTTTGACTGTAGGTTGATAAGGCATGAGGCCACATTATAATGAAAGGCTCGCTTTAAATGCCGTCTCACTTGACGGACGTCTATAGGGACTCATTACAGGCATTAGCGATTCACTGAGTAATGAACACATACGGCACCCGTTTAACGTCATGTGTGAAGGTCATGCTCAATTGTACGCATCTTTTGACGGCATGATTCAGTGTAACAGGATACACCTGTCTGCTGAACGTCAGCACAGTTGGATGTGGACGTGGCAATGAAGTAGCTGGAGGTCATAAACGGTTAACTTTAATGGTAAATTCAGCAGTGAGCTCATGGACATTTTTATTGAAGAGGCTAACATAGCTGTGAAAGAAATCAACACAGAAGTGACCCCATAAACGTTTCTCTGTAAGGGGTCAAAACTGAAGTGACATCATAACGTTTTACCGGTAAGAGGTCAACACAGTTAACAAACAGGTGATCTCTTAAACGTTTTGCTGTAAGGGTCAACACAAAAGGGATCCCATAAACGTTTTACTGTAAAGGGTAAACACAGAAGGGATCCCATAAACGTTTTACTGTAAGGGTCAACACAGACATGTTCTCATAAACGCTTTACTCTAAGGGTCAACACAGACATGTTCTCATAAACGCTTTACTGTAAGGGTCAACACGGACATGTTCTCATAAACGCTTTACTGTAAGGGTCAACACAGACATGTTCTCATAAACGCTTTACTGTAAGGGTCAACACAGACATGTTCTCATAAACGCTTTACTGTAAGGGCCAACACAGACATGTTCTCATAAACGCTTTACTGTAAGGGTCAACACAGACGTGATCTCATAAGCGTTTTACTGTAAGGAAACAACACAGACGTGACCTCATAAACGTTTTACTGTAAGGAAATAACACAGCAGAAGCTCATATTTATTTAAGGAGAAATCCCGAGTGTAAAGAGGATAGAGATAATACTGACTGACGTTTTACCAAATATTGTTAAAACTGATTAAGGTCAGTGTATTAGGTTTAAAACATTACTTTACCATTAGGTACAGGTAAAACCCCTAACGCTATGTTGCGAGTCTGATTGTAGCTTCATTGGAGTTGTAGCTTATATGAGGTGTGTATTTTCTTGAGTGAAATTGAGACCAGGCAAAATTTGTTCAAGACAAAATCACGAATATTTGGCCTCAAGAAATATAAACTTCCCTCGCTAATATAAGAAAGCAATATGTGACGGTCGATGGTAATAATGTTATATTGTAATGTTTAAACGTCTTTTTGTCAACACGGACGAAATAGGATGTCAAACATGTTATAGATCATCTCTGATAATTCATCAATCTTGTTGAGTTGTTTCAAATTGTCTGTATAACGAAATGGATACTATCATAACACGTCTTTGTGTACTTTTCCCACTGGACTCCTGTCATTAGGCACGTCTGATTGTTCTACATAATGACTTATATTGACATGATGCACACAGGTGGTAGAAATCCTATTGGACCGGTCCAGCGAGCTCCACATCCAAGAATCAGTACTGCAGGCCATCAGTGCTAGTCACGTTCAGATTGCCGAGACCATTCTGAAGCATCGTCGTTACCTGGATCTCTGGAATGACAAGCGGAAGCTGGGTGGAGTGGATCAATTTTTCAGCAACACAACACTTGAGGAGTCCCAGTTCTCGCCCGATATAACACCGCTTATCCTCGCCTCTCAAAAGAACCAGTACGAAATTGTCCAACTGCTTCTTCTACGAGGGGAGATAATTCAAAAACCACACAAATTCAACTGTACATGTCAAGATTGCGTAAATAAAATGCAGTTTGACAAACTTCGGTTGGCTAAATATAGACTGAATGCTTACCGTGGTCTCGCCAGCGAGGCCTACATATCTTTGTCTAGCAAGGATCCCATATTAACAGCATTCGAGCTAGCCAACGAGCTTCAAAACCTTTCTGCAATCGAGAAGTACTTCAAGGTAGGTTTTCTACTTCACTACCTCACAATGGGCCTCTTGACATGACTTTAACATCCGAGTTTCCTAACACTCCCTTTGAAACAATAGGCATTCTTTATTATAGGTTTCATCAAAAATCAATTTTAATGATGTTGAATAATATTTTAGCACTTTCTTACTCTTAAGATTTACAGTTTAATGTAGAGATGAATATCTAAACGATCGAAACGGACAATAATTTTAAAAAGAAATTCTGTATTTAACTAGTCAACGTATCTATTTTTTTCAATTTTATTCAATGCAGAAAAATATTTGTCCTATTTTATCCAGTAGATTAATGTAATTTGTATGTGGTACATATACATTACCCACACAATGTTCTACGAGTGAGTACTTGTCATATGTTTACCTGGAAACCTGTTCCAGGATGAGTAGCATTGAATATTGAGATATCAGAGTATGTCTGTTATCAGTGTTTATATAATTATTGAGATATCAGAGTATGTCTGTTGGCAGTATCTATATAAATATTGAGATATAATAGTACGTCTGTTGTCAGTGTTTATATAATCATTGAGATATCAGAGTCACTGTTTATATAAATATTGAGATATCAGAGTATGTCTGTTGTCACTGTTTATATAAATATTGAGATATCAGAGTATGTCTGTTTATATAAATATAATCATTGAGATATATCAGAGTCACTGTTTATATAAATATTGAGATATCAGAGTATGTCTGTTGTTACTGTTTATATAAATATTGAGATATAATAGTACGTCTGTTGTCAGTGTTTATATAATCATTGAGATATCAGAGTCACTGTTTATATAAATATTGAGATATCAGAGTATATTTGTTGTCATTGTTTATATAAACATTGAGATATCAGAGTATGTCTGTTGTTACTGTTTATATAAACATTGGGATATCAGAGTATGTCTGTTGTCAGTGTTTATATAATCATTGAGATATCAGAGTCACTGTTAATATAAATATTGAGATATCAGAGTATGTCTGTTGTCAGAGTTTATATAAATATTGAGATATCAGAGTATGTCTGTGTGAGTGTTTATATCCGTGTTACAGAATGAATACCTTGATTTAGTGAACGACTTGAGCGAGTACGTGGTCAAGCTGTTGGACCGAGTACGGACCCAGGAAGAACTAGAAGTAGTACTCAATAAAACGGGACGACCGAAGGACAATAAGTACGAGAGTCTAGCACGTTTTAACCTCGCCATACAGTACAGCCAAAAGAAGGTAAGTGACATACAATTATTAATGCCAGAAAAGTATTGTTATTTGAAAAGTATTCTGTATTAAATGTAGGATTCCAACTGTTGGCAATAGTTGGTCTGTAAGTTAATATTCCCTTTTAAAATTCCGTATTTTCCGTATTAACATTCTTGAGTTATGATGTCAAGAATATTGTACAAACGCCAAACAAGTGATTGGCACCTTTCAACACAAATTTGGAATTTAAAATAATAGAGCGAAAAAATGGAATAAACTGCATCATACAAGCTGTCAGAGCAACTTGGAAACTTAGAAGGCGAATGAGAAAAATACGAACTCTAGATGGTAAGGTGTACTAGATGCATAATTAAATTAATTCATGTTTTCATATATCTGTTGATTTCAGAAGAACAATATGTAAATGTGTGTAATCTAAACCAAACCGTTTTCCGAAAGACGTTGCACGTGGCATGCGGACTACGGCAAACCTCGGGGATTATTGTCTTCCAGCAGTGTTTACAACATGTAGTCGACAAGATGCACAAAATAATTCGCACCTTTCAATACAAATTTAAAATTAGACACTATAACTCAAATAGATACTTTCCTGAGCAGTGCCACTATTCTAATGAAACAAAAGGTAGCATGCAGGTTACTGGGTGCATGGCGAAATACAGTTATTGGCCATATCCCTCTTACAGACATGAATCCACAAGTTTTGGCCGCATGCCTAGATTCTTTCCCACGACAAAGACCATAAGGATAACTGTCTACCCAGCTGTATGAAATACGATTTCCTAATTGTGAACTAGCTTCTTTGAGTGATTATTTTAAACAGATATTTAAATGACGTGCGTTTTAGAAACCTAAAACTCAGAGTGGATACTTGGTATAAGACAAAGTATAACATCGGTTTCAACAGAAAACAAAGAAAGTATAACATCGGTTTCAACAGAAAACAAAGAAAGTATAACATCAGTTTCTACAGAAAACAAAGTATAACCTCGGTTTCTACAGAAAACAAAGAAAGTATAACATCGGTTTCTACAGAAAACAAAGAAAGTATAACATCAGTTTCTACAGAAAACAAAGAAAGTATAACATCGGTTTCTACAGAAAACAAAAAAGAAAATACCGATAAGTCAACAAAACCTGAAGACAAGTTTATCTCACAATTGATGACAACAAAACATGACCCAACGAGAAATTTACTCGGAGATTTTAATATTACGGTATATTAAAAATGCCTGAAATTTACATGAAAAGGTAACGTTTAATAATGTTTAATTAGCGTCATCTTTTTCTTTCAGTTCGTGGCACATCCTAGTTGTCAGCAGCGTCTTGTGACAACATGGTACACAGGTCTGGAAAATATGCAGCGGTCAAGATGGCCAAGACGAATTTTGATGGTGTTATTGTTCCTGTTGTCGTATCCATTCTTAGTCTTAACACACCTTGTAACACCTGGCAAAGACGTAAGTATTTGTATATGTAAATTCTATATGTGATTTAAACTTGACAAAATGCGACAGATGATTTATAAAATTAATTTGTCCTATTGTTCATTAAATTTATTGCAAGTATGCGTTTAAGAAAATATTGGATGATTATAATCAAAACTAAAACGACATTCATATTCTATGAATATAATGATGAATAGAACAATTATATTATGTTCTTAATATTTAGTTACCTTGGTCATTATGTATTTAAAATAAAGTATGATATGTTTGCCTTTTTTCTGTAGTGTGTTAAGTACCTTCGCTATCCGTGTGTAAAATTCGTCTGCCAGACGACGTCTTTCCTTACTTTCCTCGTCCTTATTATTGTGTCCACGGCGGAATCTTCTAGAACCGTATCTAACAAAATTACTCTTGGCTCCGAGTTTCCGGACATCCACAGCACCTACCTGGAGATCAAAGCGTTTTCCAATTCAACCATGTACGGCATGGATTTTCCGCTTAGACCTCTAGCTCCTACCCTGACACAGATACTTATATCGTTCTGGGTAATAGGTAAGTTTATTCTATAAAGGAATTGCAAGCTTTCAAGAGACACTTACCTACCTCGATTTCATGTGAAAGAAATTATTTCTCAGTTCATTACAGATGCCTTACTCTCATCCTATATCGTGTACTAAGTGAAAGACATTGTGCGCGTTGCGGTACGCGTAACATAAGAGTGCTCAGTTCGACAGTTCTGATATAGCACCACCAAAATTCGCAACTATATTTCAAAATGAAAATCGAGTCTTTGTTAATGCATAAAGTACACGGATAAGAAAAGTTCATAAAGACCACTTCCTTTCGCAAGATTGGGAAAAATGACTCACTTGCTCTCAAAGAGGTTTTGATTATCAATCTATCTTTGTGTATAGAAAGTCAACAGTTTCTCCTTCACAAAAATAGGTTTCTTCTCAACTCCCTAAAACGAGAAACAAATTTATTTGCCAACTTGACCGTTCTCTTTACATACAGTCGAACCTCGTGTTCTCGAACTCATATAACTCGAAGACTCCGTTTAATCTGAAGCATTTTGTCGTCCCCTGTCTTACTTTACACACGAATACTCAGTTTTCATGATGTTTTCTCATATTTCCGCCGAGATCGAAATACTTAGGTTTTCCCCTCAAATACCAACATTCTAGATTAAGGAAGGTAGTCCTGAGATATTCAAATCATGGTTTTACGTGTTAAGGCAATATGATGTATATTAACGATAGGTTCATATATAGAAGTCTGCATTTGTACATCTGACATTCATACCATCCCTAGTATGGTTCTAGTGTTAAATATTAGTCGCCAAGGTAACCATGAAAGTATTATTGATATTTAAGATAATACACTTGCAACAGTTCTGTTTTTTCTGTTTGTTCTTTTACTAGAATATCAAGTACTTTACATTGATATTTAATGTATCAAATACAAAACATACCATGATGCACAGCGATTAAAACCGACACATACATACCCAAACAACGGACTGTGCAAGACACACAAATAGGTAACACTTTCATTTCAGTATAAAGTAGAATAGGTCACATTAGAGCGAAGAAATTAATTAAACTGTATCATATGTTTATACTTTATCAAGTAGTATCAGTACAAACATAGACACACAAACACAACTGTGTTCACACACTTACAGACATCATCATACTTTATAAAATAAGACTGTTATCGAGTTCAAAAACAACTTCGCCATGGTTTTATAGGTTTCTGAATTGACGCTGTTTCAGGATTTGCGTGTCAGGAATGTGCCCAGCTGTTTACTGACGGAATATGGGAGTATATGAAGTCTTGGTATAATTTGATGGATATCACTTTACTATGTGTCTACTTCGCGGCCTTCACACTGCGTTATGCCGTTATGTTCAAGGTATGTACCTGACGTAGCGACATCCAGATAGTGTTGTTAATGTGTTAATGTTTTTGTTTGAATATTCCAGTGACCCAAAACAATCTGAGTCTTTCTAGTAACTGAATCTAATAGCCCACCAAAATAACATACTTGATTTCTCTGACAACAGTTATAGAATTTCTTTGTGATGATAACTACAGTAAGTATGGAAAAAAATCGAATGAATTATACTTAATAATATTTCAATCCCCACACACTTTTCTTAGAACATTTCTCAAAGTTTTCTCTATAAGAAAGGTAAAGGTCAAATAGTTTTTCTTTTTGGATTCTAATATCACATATATATCACACACTCATTAACAGTAACAGTATTCGTGAATTCTGGTATCATCGAGATTATCTATATTTATCGTAGATGTACGGATCAATAGATTTCTTGCGCCATACTCATCCCGCACCATGGTCACAGGAAGAAGTGGATGTAGTTAACTACCGCCTCTATTGGTTAAACGAAGGTAAAAAGGACACCAAACACATTCTGTACGTGTTGGATATATTTGATTGATGGAAAATCATGGTCTTGATTGGAGTTTTACGAATTGTGTTTATCAATAATTACATATAAGCGACGTGTTTTTTGAGTTTTAGATTTTATTTAATGTTAAAATGTTAAGAGTAATAATCCTATTGATTTAATGAAAATAATTTTCCGTGCTGTTGGATAAAAAACAGGATATCTCCCTATGATATCTTGTTAACTTGTCGGTTTGCGCATTTCTACCGAATGATGTCCTTTGTTACAGAAATAGAACACGTTTGTTTAATACGCTACAACATCACATCACTCACAAATATATTAATGTTTTACAAAGTAATAGTTTGTTTGATAGTCTTTATAAAATTCATATACATAGGCTTAATAATATGGTATATTCTTTAACAAGGGACATAATCGGTATATAACCTGACAGAATCATCAAAATACAGAATATTCCTGGGATCAGACTACATCAGATTAATAACTGTCATTAAGATTGATTTTAGATCAGTGATAGAACAGTTTAAGAACAAAATGTACTCGGCTAAATGAGACGTTCCTTAAATAGCGTTGATATGAAATATCATTAATAAGAAAGCAATGGACCCGAGCACCTTAATTATCACGAAACTGTGTAAGATACGTTAGCAATTTGTTAGAACTTACATGTAATAAATGTGCCTAGTATTCTACATCTTGCTGCTAGGTTTATCGATTTATTTGATAATTTAATATTTAATAACAGCCCAAGTTGCTATATGACCTTGTACTCTCGATGTTCTAAATGTCTTAGTGTCTCGAAACTCTTAAATGTGAAAGTTAAATTAATCGTGCATTTTTTCATTTTATTTTTAGAACTCAATTTCCATTTAACTTTATGGCAAATAAACAAGACGTATTTTTTTGTAAATGTTGAAATATTAATGAAATAAGCATGCAAAAAATTGTCGACAGTACCTCTTTGGTAGTATTTGTCCTCTCATTTCACTAGCAGAAAACGTGATAATTTTGGTAAAAAGGCATTTTAAAAAACTTGTAATTTGTTGTAATTTGTCAAAATGAAGACCTTGATGGTTGTACTCCGAAACATCGGAAAATCTACTCCTTGTGAAAAGAGGCTTATTATGTCTAATAAATTGTTTCTCCTAAACCCGTTTCCATGTTTGATATAAACATATATCTTTTATCTATAATTTCTAGCGCCCTATTTACTTCTCTGGTTTTTATTTTGATAACGTGGTATCTTAAGGCTACGCCTTTTATATTCCTTACGGTTTCACAGATCATATGCAGATTACTATTTACAAATACTTCGTGTTAATATTCGTTTGTTTATTTAACGATCCTCTTTAAAGACGTTTTGTTCACATTTGCCGTAGTGACAGCAAAGCAAAAATCGTATCAATTTTTTGTTAACACTCATTACAATTTTTCCTTTAGATCGGTTTTACTGGATGGCATGGGATCCAATCAACATGTCTGAGGGTTTGTTCGCCATGGCAAATATTCTAAGTTTCTCTAGGATTTCCTACCTCCTACCCGCAAATGAAGTGCTAGGTCCTCTCCAGATATCGCTTGGTAAAATGATTACGGTATGGAAAATTTATTGTATTTTGTTCAAATATAAACATGCATATTAAGTTTGTAGGAAATTGCGTATTACTGACCATATCATTTACTTTAATATTTTATAGGGCTGAAATTTAGTGGCCTTTTATCACACACTGAAAAATGACTATTTCCTTGGCATTTTAATTTGGCGTTATCTTGTTCTCACGGAATCTGCTAGTTAGGAATTAAAATCACACCAAAATATTTGACACGGCTTATTTTGAACACTTAAACATGCACATTTTTGGTAAATAGATTTTGTCTGGCTGGACAAAATTTTATAAAAAGTACCCAGATACAGAGCGTGTCTGTTCTAAAAATTTAGTCGCAATATGATATAAATCGTAAAGACACTTGGAATGAGGAGTTAAAAATTACTCATCGTTGCGTTGCGAAGAGACCATTGTCTGCAATGGGTATGGGTAGCTTATATGTTTAAGCTTGTGTCATGCAATTAAGGCTTAACCTCTAACCACTGAAATTTATGTCATTTTTTAAGTATGTATCAATTTCAGAACGTTTGCAATAGAAGCATTATAATCTCGATGAAAATTTTTGAATTTTCAGTACTGTTAAAATTTGGTTTTTTAACTGATATAAGGATGACAACAGGAGAGTAAATTAATATTTATAAAAATTATTGGCTAACGCATCTTAATAATTGGCTAGCGTGTGTTTCATTGGAATCTTACATTGGAAGTGTACTATGGACAAGAAAATCTTAAAAGCAGAGGGGAGGGGTCTGGTAATTAAGAAAGATACTTTCTCTGTTGACAGTCTTTTGCAAGGGTTTAGAGTATTCCTATCCATGGTACACACCCGTATTTGGTTATTTTTCACCCGCACCTCAAACATCGTCAACAATGTCAAAGTGTATATGTAAACAGCTGACACGTCATACATGCTCGTTTTTTGCTTGATGTTACACTTAACACTAACGCATTTTAAATCCTTGTTCTATACTATTACCATAGTTATGTCTCTATTAAAGTGGACGTATTATTTTTCTATCGTGTTTTTAAATCGTATTATATTGAACATTGTTGTTGTGAGCTGTGTGCTTTGCACAATATTGGAAGTTCACTCTCGTGTTTGCTCTTTTTGTCCTTTAAGGATCTTGCTGTTTTCAAATGTTGAGTCAATTTGAGTTTTATTTTGTTTTAGCTTGTATCACTAAATAACACTAACGAATAACATGTTCAAACAATTTCACATTGCATAGTGATATACAAAAAATTGAACCCAATCCCCGTCTAAACACCGCCTAATGTGAAATTCCTTTGTAGGATATCCTCAAATTCTTGGCCTTGTTTATGTTGGTTCTTGGTGCGTTCATGGTGGGTCTGTTCAACCTGTTTTGGTACTACAGCGTTCACGAAGGGATCGAAGTGACCGACCACCAGTTCACCTTCTCCGCCGAGAAACACTTTGGAGAGTAAGAATGACCCTCTCAAATGTCAACATATGCTGCTTAGAGTTATTGCTTTACATAGATGTGTTCTACTGCGTATAGGGAGTGATTATACATGTTTCAAACGTGGTTTTATCTGTTGATGGACTCATAAGCTGAACGTATACGGATATCAATTATATTTACATATAAAAGGAAATAACTGTGTTAAGTGGTACTTAGAGACACATAACAAAAGAAAATACTATGTAGATGCTTTGTTTTGTTAGTCGTGGTCACTCCAGAAGGCTGGATTTAAACGTTTAAGTAGCGTTTTAAGTACTTTTGTTAATTAAGTTCCATTAACAACTTAAATAAAATCTTCATACCCATTTAAAGTGAACGTCGTCAGCATATGAACAGTACTATTTATTTCAAACTCTCTCCTGAGGAATGCACTTAAGTTTGGTGAATGTGTTTAAATCTCAGCCAGTGTTAAAATCTCACGCCCGCGTTAATAATTCTATTTTTAAAATAAATAAAAGAGAAAAAAATAGATAGATCAGTCATGATTACACGGATCACTATATTTTATTGCACATTTACATCCGGAGTTATCAGTTATCTAACTTTTAAACATCGGTTGACATCATGATAAAAAAATATGGCTTTGAATGTTGTTGCTTTTCAATGTAATTTTGGATAGCTAAACATGTTTTTTGGAAAATCGAATTATTTTTTCGTTTGTTGAATCCACCATAGAAATAGTAAAAGAGAAAACATTGCACCATCTTGAGTTAAGCGGAGATAAGTCGAAAATGATTTTATATTCAAAAGTTTGAGGATAGGAGAGAAACACCCTTTGATATGCGTGTACATGTTTAAATAGACAGGAATATTCCATCATGTGTGTCAAACCTTCGGCCCTCGGATGGAATGTCCCAATGTCAAGGTAAAGAGTATTATAGTATAAATTTTCACTGGTCGACCTTGTAGTGTGATGGCTACCTTCCGAACGGTGTTCTGGTCAGTGTTTGGCCGAGGAGACACGGACGTGGTAACATTAGGAGCATACGACAATCATTTGACAGAGGACATCGGCTACATCATCTACGGCATGTACAACATTGCCATGGTCATTGTTCTGCTCAACATGCTCATCGCTATGATGTCAAGGTCTTTTGAGAACATAACAGTGAGTTGAAACCTTTAAATGTTATTTTTATGAAAATGTATTAATTATTTTTTTCCGATTAAAATGTAAATTTTGTTGTCATTATTAGAATAAAACTTAGCTGACACACTGTGTACATTAATATAGCTTATGCTTAAAATAAACGTTATTTAATGTGCGAATCAGATTAATTTAAGAGACCAGTTTATTTAACTTAAAAAAATCTGTCGCCAAGATTTCTATTACGTTTTTAGATTGGGTACTTTATTCATTTGCTTTTCTTTTGGCTTAAGTGAGATAAACTTAGTTTAACCGAGTTATGTCGCGAAAAATTAGCCTCCGTTCATGAAAGCTTACTTTTTTCGATTTTACTTAAGCAATACCATTTCATTTTGTGTACTAAATGTTGAATGCTGCGTTTTTGCACAATGCTGACTTTGTACGCATTGTAATAGTGATACGCCGAACATTTCATTGAAACTTTATAGCAAGACTCTGACTCGGAGTGGAAATTTGCGAGATCTACATTGTATATGGACTACATAGGGTCTGGTCCCGCTTTGCCAGTTCCTCTTAACATCCTTGCCGTTCCACGTGATCTTATAGAATACATCATCGAATCATGTTGCCGAAAATCTTCAGATGACGACGAGGATGATTCTGACGATGAAGACGACGAAAAAAACAGAAATCCAGACCAAAACGGGGGAATGGTAATACAGTTTTAGTTGAGATTTCACCGTATGATATTCCATATAACAACATCAGTTTTCTTATAAACAAAGCCAAAATTTTGAAATTGCTAACAAGTCTCTTTCTACTGTACCGTTTAGGGGCGTCTGTAGGTTTGTTCACTAATTGTATTCCACATAACCGGTTATTTTTGCGGGGATGATATTTTTGCGATTTTGCGATACATGAACGTGATCTTGAAAATTTAATATGTGAAATAATGCTATTTGTGTATTCGATGTCCTTTCATATTCAAAGTTTTAGTTCGTTTTAAATATTATTCGGTCTTGTTCTTAGAAAATCGTGAAAAATCTGACCCGTGAAAAGAATTACTTCTACGGTTAATCATAGAAATGGTAAAATAATGCATTAACTGGTTCAAATATTCTTTACATCCTCAACTTGATCTCGATATCTATTTGAAGGTATCTGGTATCGTTTAATTCCCGAAAGCAATTATACATCAGCAGGTTGTCCTATGGATGAATATTTTTATTCTGTAAATGAAATGTCAGTTACATTCATGAATTTATTTGAATTAAAGAAAACAATAATGATCGATAAGTAGATGCTCAACATTACGATCTTCCTTTCTCTTCCTACATTGACAACTTACCTCTAAAAAATGGAAGAGGGAACCTTAGATATAAAACAATGAGGATATAAGACCTGCCCTGAAATGTTGCTATTGCAAATCCATCATTAATTAATAAACTTTCATGTTTACTATTACATATTAACTGATATTTTTTTCTCCCTGGAACCTATGTTTTCATACATAAATTACTCGAAAGAAAGTTGGTTTGTTTTCTTTACAAGTTTCGTTACTTTTGTAAATAATTGTAGGTTTATAAAGGTATGAAAAAAGGCTTATTTTCAGGAGAGGTTTATTTTTTGAAGTCTCCTTGTTTTCGAGGTTTTAGGGTATCATTACATTTTACATTTAGTCGTGTTTAGTCTTTTTTTCGTGTTCTTGCTCCTGCTGAATTTCGATTTGTTTTTTTTTGTAGTAATGTAAGTAAGAACAAAAACTTAATAAACATATTTTTAATAAATCACACAATAAACGTTCGATTTAATCTTTTATTTGTAAACGTGTTAGAAACAATAAAGAAGAAAAGGATAAACAAATTGCTCACAATCCCTTTATACCCTATCTCAGCACATCCGGGATTTTCTATTCTTTGTATCCAGGGTAACGGCAGTCCTATTGAAGCCACAGCCATTGACATGAACGAGACCAATCTTAGACCAGAGGACATGGACAGACGGAAAAGTATGGGCAGCACAACGGGACAAGATGGAGAGAAGAAGAAAAAAGACTATCAGGTTGGTAGATTGGGTCCTTGTGATTCTTGCTTTCGACAACATGATTGTTTCCATAGCGAAAAATTGTTCATTCATCTCAACAAATTTGTTATGTAGATTAGAGTTCCAATAACTAGTAAATGTTATGGGAGTATGAGAATGAAGTCTCACATATATTCATTTTCAACATCAACATGTAAAAAGAAGAACATTATGCATGTTGATATAATTTTTTACTGACTAATCGTTTGTGTCAGTGTACGTTATATATAGGTATATAGTGCAGGAAATATAGATTAGATGCTTCAAACTATATCATAACGAGATTTTAGAAATGGTACAAAAACCTAAGTTAATATATTGTACCATTAAAAGTAACTATTTTCGGAGAAAGCCTTTTTAGATATTGAAAATCGGTATGTTCATATGTGAATACCGATTTCTGAACGTTCACAGAAGAAATAAGGTTAGCTTAAAGAGTAATTTAACAAGTATACATGTAGTTTGAAATTTAATTCAAAAGATTAGAATCTTCATAATTGATTCATTATGTTGAGGAAATAGTGAACGATCCAAGAATTAACTTATAGACAAAAATGTAAAATTTGTTTATCGAATACGTGAAAAATAAAGTGTCCTGAAATACATTATAATAATAATACGTTATTTGATAATTTATATAAACCTTAACCGGAAATAAAAACTACTTTTTATAGAAAGTCATGCAGACAATAATACAGAGATACATATTTGAAAAGCAAAGGGAGGCGGAAGTAACGGAGGGTAAGTCTAATCAATCATACATGCTTAATAGTAACAAAGTGATATTATAAAATTCATAACGGGTGTTTCTTCTAGTGAAATTGATGTATCTTTCTGCTAAACGATTATGAAATAACACACGAATAAATAGCAAAGTAATGCATATAACTGCAAATAAGAGCTCGTTCATCCTTTTTAGACGTTTAAGTTAAAAAAAGGATATGATCAGACATCAAAGTATTTAAGATATTCTATGTTAGAATACGTTTTCCAAGTTGATAAATTATAGACAAGGACTCACTTTTTTCAATAATCCATACGACGTGCTTGCCATAATTTTAGATGACTTCGAAGAAATAAAGCAGGACATTTCCAGTTTCCGGTATGAAATATTAAACAACCTTGAACTTCGAGATACGGCACACGACGATATGGCACATCAAATAACCAAAATTGCAGACCAAGTAAAGATGATAGCGAAAGAACTGCGAAGGTCTCGGACAACGGATGACGTCATCAGTGAAAGCGAGGCTGAACATGAACCAGAGACTGAAAAGAAGACATTTACGGCATTGGCAAACAGTGTCCGCACCACTCTTTAAACCAATTTGGATAGCATATATGTTTGGTTGTGTGCTGAATAACAATTGCTAAATCAACGAAAACGGTGCAGATAAGAGGCATGAGATGATAGTATTACGTTTATTTGTGTTTCACAAATGTGAATAAGTTCAGTCTGGTTTTTGTTATGGTGCCAATACAGGTCATAGTCACCAAGGACGGGTGAAACTAAAGGTTCAGTGAAAGTTTCTCAAAGTATGTATGTTACATGGGATGGTTGATAAGGCTGTTTTGTATATTTCTGTATTTCCTTTTACTCATACAAATTATAGATGATATTTGGGAATATATTTGGTTTGGTGTGTTTGCTTGCTGGATTATTTAACCCGTGAACAGCAAGGGTCATAATAAGTTTGGTGTTCTTCGAGCTTTTGCACAATTTGTTTTATAAAACAGCAAAAATAAGAACATGTAAAAATCATAAAGATAGTGATATGCAACGTTCTTTTATCTTATAACAAAATTAATAGAGTATTATTTGTTTACGTGAATGACAAGTCGTCACTTAATACAGTACATCCCAAATTCTATTACGTTACATTCTATGGGAAAACGATGGAAATTGTTACGATTTGAAACTTTTGTTATCCTGCAGCATATAAATGCTGACAGTTATATCGTTTCAGTAAGAATGTCAACGTTTGCTAAGTGTGTTGCTTGTCTAATGAGTATAACATCTTAATGACTTAAAAGCACAAAACATACAATAGCATATTTATACAAAATGTACGCCTTCTTAAATAAAATGTCAAAAAATGATAATCAAAGTCAATGATTCAATGCCTTTTTTGTAATCTTTGATGTCCTCTTTATACCTGAAGTTCTGAAGTACATGTGTCAGATGAGGTTACACCAATAAGCATGCCATGGAATAAGTATATTCATTGTCTGTGAAATTGTGATATATGTTTTCTTATATATTGACAGAATATTTTGATTCGTGACTGTGATCATATCTATATATGTATATATACATTTCCTATGCTGGTCCATAGGACAATCGCATTTTTATAATTTGTTATATCGTTATTTCTCATTCATTTCGGCATATATAATTGTATGTACCATTTTGTTTTATAATCAAATATCTTGATAAGAACCAAAACAATGTATTTGATGTGTTGTTACGTTTCAAAGCAGACGGGCTCTTTTCATCAGGTATGGAATATAATCAGACGTTTTATATACCATCACAATTTCAGACATAGCTTTTATAATTGTAGCAGTAGCAAAACGGAACCAACGGATATAAATTGTTCCGTATATAAGTATACCACTCGTGGCGTATGTGGGATGATGTACATACTTAACAAATTCGAGACATTTTGTCCACAATTATGGCTGTTAAAGATCAATTATATTAACTATTGAAGTAACATTCAAATCTCAAACGCTTTTTCAACAGATAGACAAAGCCACAAGTCGGATTCGAAATGTAGCATCACGTTAACTAGAAATGGTTTTTCCCTTCTTGTAGTGTTTATTTATATAGATTTAATTCGTTTTGTACGTTTTATCAAATCATGTATATAGTGTAAATTACTTTTCGTCACCAAAGACTGATTTCCAGTTTGGGAGCTCAGATATTTGTGAATAAAAATAGCACGCATTGTACGAAATATCCAGATTATAATATTGTGTATGGTCATACCATATCTAGTCATATATTAACATGTTATGTTTATAATTGAAAACTTTTTACTTGTATTTAAATATGTGTATATGATATCCTGAAAACAATTATTCATATATGATTATAAATATACAATCAACTTGTTTTGTTAAATACGGGATAGCTACCATTCATTACCGGTTATCCTCAGCCAAATTCATTTTTCAATGATAGTGACTTGTATAACTTGAATTAAATGAGAAAACTTTGACACCCTAAAGCAATGGTCTGTCCAGAGTTGTGGCTTCTATGATCTGCATCTACCTTTAAAACATCTTATTCTACAAAATAGGTCATACATTTGTATTGATGTTACCAGATGTTTATTTTATTTCAAAATGTTTAAAGTATTTCAATTCCGAATTACGAGATTACTGCTACAATCAGAAATTGTGTGCACGAAACTTAAAAATCACTTACAGCATCAACACTATTAAATTATGGATTATGAAGATTAATATTAGATGTAAACCTCGGTGAAAATAGAGAAAATAGACATACTGATTTATCCGTCACATTAGTGTTGAGCGAGACCTTTTTCAGTTTTAATGTATGCGATCGATATTATTTTCTGCTTTCCGATGTGATGTATGACGTGTATAAATACCTGTTTAGCGGCTTTAGTTCAACTAAATCGACCCAAAAACAGGATCAGAAATCAAATCTTTAAAGTAATTTTCACTTAAAAGTGGAATTTTCACAAGGCTTTGATATGGTAAAGTAAATGACAACATGTTAGTCAATGAAATATTGTTGAAAAAATATAAATACATTATTTTTTTATTTTGTATAACAAAGATGGTTTGTTCTCCTTCAGTGTTATGTACCGGGTTATATTCCGCTACTGTAAGGTGCTACATTGTGTTTTTTAATTAACAAGGCGAACTGTGTATTATAAGGGAGAACGTGTAGTATTTCCATATCATTTTTCGTTTTTTTTTTTATTTCGTTTTTGTGATAGTTGATTTTCACTATAGTATGTTGTTTGTTTCAGTTTTCTATCTTTCTTTGGAATGTTTTCTTAATTTGTTTGATTATTTACAAGACTTCTTACTCACAATAGAAAGTTGAGCTTGAAATATAGTATCAGAAATGTTAACATGAGCTTTACCTGCAAACATCATAAATGAAAAAATCCTATCAATAAGGATTTATTAAGATAAATCGTTGAATTTTAAAATCTTTATTGGCACTGATACGCGTAAGAACGTAATAAATCAATCGTTAGACTTACATAAGTAGTCTTAGTAAAGCCTGTTGTGATGTAAGCTAATTTATTTCGTTATCACAACTGCATTTACAACTTACATGTACATGTAGGACATTCTCGATATTATTTTTTATTATTAGTTATATTAAGCGCTCGACTAACAAGGGGATAGTAATATTATAATAGTAAACAGAATAACCATGTCGAGCGCTCGAAATGATTAATATAAAAATTAATGTTGTGCATGTCTGAATATACCACCGTAAAAAACTAGAGGATATGAAATGCTTTCCTGATATATAATGCAGAATATTTAGGTACTATATATTACTGTGATTGTTTACTAGGCACGTCTTTACTTTTACGTTAGCATAGTCAAAAACTATATCAAGCTTTACCAAATAATGCTTTAACTTAAGGCGAACTGTTTTATTTAAACATTTGCCAAGTTTGTTTATATGTTCCATGGATACATGTCATATCGACGAATTTGTGTATAATTATTGACATCTAAATTAACATTTATCGCAGCTCCCTTTTATATTAAATTTTCTTTAATAGAGGCAATTTCGATTAGGAAATCTGACACTATTATTGCATTTTAAATTGTATCAATTGTTAAAATTTCCATTTCTTGATAGCAACATTCCTCCACCCCAGCCTATAGTGTTTACATGCCGAAGTTGATATACAAAGACCTGTTCCCATTATCACTATTGTAATGGAAGAAGTCGTCAATTGGCGGACAAACTTGTAACACTGGGATTCAAAGGATGCTGGTTGAGAAAATTATAGGAAAGTTTTCTGTCTTCATAGATATCTCATTGAGAAATATTCCATTTGGTGCTCTTGAGTTTGCTAGTTGGTTCTGTCGGTGTATACTTTGTTCTCATTTGAGAATGAGATATTACTAACTTTGATTGACCAAGATTTAAATGGTTGGTGTCGTCAATGAAGCAGAAGACGCTTTCTCTTCCGGAACACCTCGTCGTATTCCCCCTTTATTTTTAAGAGTTTCGTTTATATCTTTATTATGCTCATATTTTGTCCCAGTTTCAATGAATTTGAGTTTGTATTATAATTATGTTGACATTTTATTGAGTTAATTAGAAAGTGATTAAGCCGGCCTGTTTCTTATTGTGAATCAAACATTATTTTTATACTTTAGATTGATACGACATACTTACGCAGTGAATTGACAAGTTGATCATCTACATTGGGTTGGTTTTGATAATAGATGTCGTTAAATATGATAGGTATAATCGAAGAACGTTGTTGAAGTGTCGTACGTGTCAATTCTACAATATATTTTTTTTTAAATCGAAATATCTCGAAAAATGACGTAATGTTACGCTCATATTTCACACGAATCATGGTCAATGACTTGTCTGTGGCCACGTTATCGAACGATTTGAGACTTACCAGAAATATCTCTAGATGCTATAATGTTACATTCTGTACAAGCATATTCCTTATTCATCAATGCCAACTATTTATTAACTTTATCAAGTGTGGAATTTCGATTTTTGATGTGTATTAATGAAGGGCGAAATTAATCACTTCTGAAATATTGCCGCTGTTTTCCAGTAGCAAGAATGTCAACAAATCATAACGGAGTAATGAAGTAGGTATTGATAGTGAGACCAGTTGTTGAACAACCTATCTATACCTCCAATCTTTATTGAAATTTGAAGCTTACCAGCATAAGGGAATTCTTAATATTCGACAATTTAAAAGAGTGCTTTATTATATTTGCCATCTGTTGTCCAAGTCCGTAGACTTGAAAAGTTTAAATGTATTCCTCCTAAGATATTGTTCATGTAGGGCTGGATAAGGCAAGGGTTAGATTGCTTTTCTACACTTAAAACTATGAATTAACAATAAGGCCATAAAACATTTGAGATATGCTTTTATAGTTATGATTTTTTCTTATACTTTTTCATCATTTGTTATAACATTATTTCAAAAAAATATGATTTTATTATTACCGTTGCAAGTTTATCGCACGAAAGGTGTATTTTGATACATCTTTGTACTTTTATATATGTATGATAATTGCTGTAGATTGTAACGAACAATTACAACAATATTCAAAAATT